GGGGGCGGGGGGGAGGGGGGGGGGAAGAGAGGAACAGGAGGCGGTCAGCTGGGTCCCGTCCGCAGATCCGAAGAGGAGATGATTGAAGGGGTCTGAGGGCTGAGGCGTAGACAGATACGAAGTACCATGAGGACCCAAGCCAGATCCCCCCGATTTTGCAGCAGTCCTACGTGATCGTTGGGGCATAAGGGATGCGCGTTCACTTGCCGCCTCTGGGCTTTGGGCACCGGCCTTTGTCGAACGATATGTCAGAGCTCAATATTCCGACGACAATTTTGATTGCATAGTTCACCGGGTTAACAGAACTCAGTATTTTCAAACGAATTACCGGCGCAGTGGAGTTATATGATTGAAGCAACAATGTGGTGCGTAGGGTGGCATGTCACATGAACGTGACTGTAGGCTTGTAGCTGTGCCAGTCGCGCATTTTCGTTGCATGCCGCGCTTTGTTTTCAAGCGCAGCGCAATGGCAGTATCTGCAGCATATACATAGGAACAAACATACGCAGCACGTGCATCATCGCTATATGTGTTTGTCTTTATTTTCACAACTGGCAATGCACATTACGTCACATTATAATCAGTTGTCCGCGCGCCGAAAGTCGCGCGCTGCCACGCGTTCTGGGTTATGCAATGTGTTATGTGAGGTGATGCGTAATTATTGGTGCGTGTGTAATGTCCACGTAAGTATCCGACCCTACTCCGCCCTCTCCCAGCTAACGTTTGCCGGCTTCCGTTGGCGATATGCCCGCCGCCAGCAGGCGATTGCAGGACCGGCCGCTGTTGCTCCTCCTCTCCCTTTCCCCCCGAGCCTAGAATTTCGAGTTCAGCGCAAGTTTTGTTGGATGTGTCGCAACCGTGCTGCATTGCATACTGCGCGCTGCGCGCGCGTGCGCGCGCACAGAGGAAGGGGGCGGCGGCGGGGCTGCAGGCGCAAGGCCCTTGGGCGGACGCGCTCGAAGGAGAGCTGTCCGGCAGAGGCCTCCACCGGCCGCCTGTGGACCTTTTCCTCCATGTTCAAGAGCTTCGAACCATGCGCGAGATTTGTTGGATGCATCGCGAGCGCCCAAAGCGGGGGCGCGGGAGAGGGCCAGCGGCCAGCGACATCGCTTGGCATCCGTTTCGCCCGTTGTTTTTCGCGCTTCCAGCGACCTCGAGGTCATTTGCCGCGCGCTTTCATGTTCGGCGCCGTTCCCGATTGGTCCCATGTCTCCCATGACGGCTGCCGTGCGCTCCCGACGTCGACGTCCGTTCTGATGCCCCGACGTGTTCTTCAAGGCCCTTTCCTGCCGCGACTTCCGGTGCGACCCACGACTCGAACGGTTGGCGCGTTTCTCCGCGTCCGTTCTGATGCGCACGACGATCGCAACAGTTTCCCCAACAGAAGTCCCAGGCTCGCAGCTCCGGGTACCACGACACCTGGACTGGTAAGCGCCCGCGGCGCTGACCAGCCGCCGACCTGACCCCCTCGCCCTGCGGCAGCTCGGCACACCGTCCCTGCGCCCCTTAGTCCCCGTCCTTCCCTTCCCCTCCCCATCCCCCTCTCCCGTTTTCAAGGATCTGGGGCTCTGTGTCCCACCTGTGCCCATTGGCTGTAGGAGATTCAGGGATCTGGGACTTGTGTCCCACCTGTACCCATTGGCTGAAGGAGATTCAAGGATCTGGGACTTTGTGTCCCACCTGTACCCAGCTGCGACGCATTGGTGCCACGGCGACTTGCGTGATGCGCCCCTTTCTCCACGAGCTGGCTACCCGCCCTTCCACCTGGGCCCCGTCCTTCCCTCCCTTCCCCCTCCCTCTATCCCGTATCCAAGGATCTGGGACTCTGTGTCCCACCTGTGCCCATCGGCTGAAGGAGATTCAAGGATCTGGGACTTTGTGCCCCACCTGTATCCATCTGCGACGCATTGGTGCGACGGCGACTTGCGTGGCGCGCCCCTTTTCCTGCGATGGGACCTCGTGTCTTACCTGTGCGCATTGGGGCTTGTCCCCACGTGATCACCCCGGTGCGAGCCGTCGCGACTTCGGCTGGCGCGGGATGCTGGCTTCTCTCCTCCCTGTTCGGGAGCCCCCCCCCCCCTCGCCCCCCCCCCTCCCGTGGCGGCGGCGCCCGGCGCAGCGCGGCTCCGGCCCAGCAGCGCGGCTCAGGCCCGGCCCTCGGCTATGCGGTCGGCAGCGCATCGTGCGTGGCCCCCGCCCGTCTTCGCGCGCTGACCTGTGCATGTCAGGCTTCCTCGCTGCGCGCCGCCGACATCCAGTCGGGCGCAGGCGGCCCTGCTTCTGGCCGCGCCCCTTGGCTGCTTCCTGGGCGTGGTTTGGACTACCACCCCAGGGCGCTGCCGACCACTCGGTGGCGCACCGCTGCACATCGCCTTCGCGGTCCTCCTCATCTCCAGGGCCTCTCCTCACCATTTGGTGGCGCAAGTCGCTGATCGCCTACATGGTGGACTTCCAGCCCCCGGGACGTCGGCCTGGTTACGTCCCCCCGCGCGCAGCGCTCGGGGATGGTGATTTTGACGCGCCGCCGACGGTGGCGCCGCGCCGCTCACCCTCCGGGACTTCACCGCCGGCTCCTGTCCAAGGTGTACCTTCCTGTGCATGCTCTTCCGCGCCGCCTGCGCCCCGCGCCCCCCAGCCGCCTGAGGCCCCGCCCGCCCGCGCCCTGTCTCCCCGACTAGTGCTTTGCGCGGCCCGCCTAGCTCTTCTCCGGAAGAGGCGCGCTCTCGACCCGCGGACCAAAATTTGTTTTTCGCGCTTCCAGCGGCCTCGCGGTCATTTGCCGCGCGCTTTCATGTTCGGTGCCTTTCCCGATTGGTCCCATCTCTCCCGTGACGGCTGCCGTGCGCTTCCGACGTCGACGTCCGTTCTGATGCCCCGACGTGTTCTTCAAGGCCCTTTCCTGCCGCGACGTCCGGTGCGACTCCCGACTCGAGCGGTTGGCGCGTTTCTCCGCGTCCGTTCTGATGCGCACGACGATCGCGACAGTTTCCCCAACAGAAGTCCCAGCGGTTTTCCCGACGCCGCACAGTTTCCCCAACGGAAGTCCCAATGCCTTCCTCGACGCCGAACGAATTCCCAACGCTTTGCCCAACGTTAATTTCGATGCCCAAATTGATGCAAACTCAGTAGAAGTGCTGATTTCGGTGTCGATTTCGGTGTCGATTTCAGAGTCTGCCCCCGTTTTTTTTTTTTTTTTTTTTTTTTTTTTTTTTTTTTTTTTTTTTTTTTTTTTTTTTTTTTTTTTTTTTTTTTTTTTTTTTTTTTTTTTTTTCTCTCCCCCCCCTCTCTCTCTCTCTCTCTCTCTCTCTCTCTCTCTTCTTCTTCTTCTTCTTCTTTCCTTCCTCTCTGCCCACTTTGATGCACGCGTTGATACCCAACGTCAAGTTTGATGCCCAAATATTGTCAAACTCAGTTGAAGTGTGGATTTCGGTTTCGATTTCAGAGACGGTCCCCAACGTCAATTTTGATGCCCATTTTGATGCCCAAATTGGTACCCGACGTCAAGTGTGTCCCACTTGGTACAGACTCAGTAGAAGTATCGATTTCGGTCTCGACTTCGGTGTCGATTTCAGAGTCGGTCCCCAATGCTAACTTGGTGCCCCAATTCATACAAACTCAGTAGAAGTGCCGATTTCGGTGTTGATTTCAGAGTCGGTCCCGAACGTCAATTGTGATGCCCATTTTGCCCAAATTGATACCCGACGTCAATTTTGATTCCCGGATTGATACAGACTCATTAGACATGTCGATTTCGGTGTCGACTTCGGTGTCGATTTCAGAGTCGGGTCCCCAACGTCAATTTCGATGCCCATTGTGATGCTTATTTTGATGCCCAGCGTCAATTTCGATGCCAAATCAATGAGTTCTGGAACCACCAACGCATTTCCCAACGTTAGAATTGATACATTCCACGTTCCGATCCACGTAACGGCAACGGTCGCAGTGTCAAAATTGATATTGATGCGCGCTTTAGGACTTCAGAATTTTGCAAAGTACCCCCTCCCCCCCTTTCTCGTTCCTCTCACCCTCCCGTCTATCTCCCTCCCCCCTCTCCCCTCCCCCTCCCCCCAGAGTAGTAATAGTAGTAGTAGTAGTAGTAGTAGTAGTAGTAGTAGTAGTAGTAGTAGTAGTAGTAGTAGTAGTAGTAGTAGTGGTAGTCGTAGTAGCAGTAGTAGTAGTAGTAGTAGTAGTACTCGTAGTAGTAGTAGTAGTAGTAGTAGTAGTAGTAGTAGTAGTAGTAGTCGTAGTAGTAGTAGTAGTAGTAGTAGTACTAGTAGTCGTAGTATTAGTAGTAGTAGTAGTACTACTAGTAGTAGCAGTAGTAGTAGTAGTAGTAGTACTAGTAGTAGTAGTAGTAGTAGTACTAGTAGTAGTAGTAGTAGTAATCGTAGTAGTAGTAGTCGTAGTAGTAGTAGTAGTAGTAGTAGTAGTAGTAGTAGTAGTAGTAGTGGTAGTCGTAGTCGTAGTAATCGTAGTCGTAGTAGTAGTAGTAGTAGTCGTAGTAGTAGTAGTAGTAGTAGTAGTAGTAGTAGTAGTAGTAGTAGTAGTAGTAGTAGTAGTAGTAGTAGTAGTAGTAGTAGTAGTAGTAGTAGTAGTAGTAGTAGTAGTAGTAGTAGTAGTCGTAGTAGTAGTAGTAGTAGTAGTAGTAGTAGTAGTAGTAGTAGTAGTAGTAGTAGTAGTAGTAGTAGTAGTAGTAGTAGTAGTCGTAGTCGTAGTAGTAGTAGTAGTAGTAGTAGTAGTAGTAGCAGTAGTCGTAGTAGTAGTAGTAGTGGTAGTATTAGTAGTAGCAGTAGTGGTAGTAGTAGTAGTAGTAGTAGTAGTAGTAGTAGTAGTAGTAGTAGTAGTAGTAGTAGTAGTAGTAGTATTGTCCAGCTTTTGCTCTCGCCAGTGTCCACCAATGTCCATTGCCGTTCTTGTTTCAAGTTTATTCAGGGGCGTCCACTCCATGGACGCACTGCTGGCCTTCTTCGCCCTCCTTCCCCAGGCCCCAGGGATTGCAGGGCTCATCGCCGCCTGGCGCGGCTGCCAGTGCCATTGCCGCACCAGCGAGGCCGACGCGGCCATCGTCGCGGTCCTCCGCGACCAGTTGGCCCGCTGCGGGCCCCAGCTGCTGGCGCCTGCGCCAGCGTCCACGTGGGCGTTCGTCTCTGGCGTGGCCGTCGGCATCGCGGCGTGCCTGGCCTCCCTCCTGTGGCTGCTCTCGTCGGGCCGAGCTGCTGTCCGTCCGCCAGTGGATGGCGTTGGTGGCGGCAGCTGCAGCCCAGCTGCAGGGGCTTCGTGTGGGTCAGCGTCTTTTGATCTCGTACGACGTGGACCCAGACTTGTTCCACGAGCGCCTGGTGCTGCAGAGGCCTCCCAATAGGCCAGGATGCACGTACTTGGTCGCAACGCCCGACGGGGATCTGTACGAGGAGGATCTCCTGGACTCAGGTGGCGAGGTGTTCGTGCTCGGGCCGCGAGGCGGTCTCCTCGGCGGCATGCCTGCCGCCGCCACGCTCTATCGGTTCGATGCTGGCTACCTGGCGGCCAACAAGGGCCGCTTCATCCAGGAGGGCCGCGACGAGCTCGCCAGGATCCGAGCCGACGAGGGCTTCGCCTTCGTCGACGCGGGCGACGGCCTTCCGCCGCCGCTGGCGGCTCCAGCGGGTGGGCCACCTGGTGCTGCTGCTCTCGTGGCAGTGGATGCCCTGGCGCCGCCGGCGCGGGCGGACCTCCTGTGCGGTGGTGCGCTCTGGAGTCGCGCTTCGGCAAGGCCGCCGGCGACGACGTCAGCGACCTGGTGGGGGCTTGGTTCATCCAGGGCGACCGCGGCATCATCACGATCGCGGACGGCTTATTCATGTGCATCGCGCGGGCCGACTCCTTCACCAAGGGCGCCGACGTCGACTCGAAGGAGCAGGACGTCCGCACTCTCGCCGTGCGCGTGGACTCGCACGGCAGGCGGGAGGCTACCTTCCAGGACGTGTGCAAGCAGCTGGACTCCATCAGCGTCTCCGACTGGCGCATCTCAGGTCCTCGGACGGCTGTGTGGCTCTGCAGGGCTCTCTCGGAGACTCGGATGTCCCCTACTCAACGGCACTACTGGTGGCGGAATACCATTGGGCTCACCATGTCGGACAACGGCGTGGACGAGCACCTCTTCTTGAGCGAGCTCCTGGAGTGGGCCCTCTGCTACGACTTCCTCAGTTTCGGCAGCCTGATCATCGCCGAGCACATCAGCAGGAGGTACCAGCTTTGGGAGGAGGTCTACTCGCACACGCTCATGGAGCGCGAGGCGGGTGCCTCCGCCGCCGAGTGGGTCGACGAGCGCCGCGTCTTCCTGGGCACTCACAAGTCGCGTGGCGTCGCACTGGTGTGCCCCGAGCTGCAGTCGTACGTGGCCTGCGAGATGGCCTCCAGCGCCGCCATCCTCAAGGGGGGGCGGAAGGGGCGCGAGGAGCGCCGTCTGGCGGGCGGCCTGGGCGAGGAGGCGGACGAGGGCTCTGGGGGCGCGGGGGGCAGTGCGGCCAAAGCCAAGGGCCGCAACGGCCCTCGCAAGTAGCCTCGCCCGCCACGGCCGCCACTGGCCTGGCTCCTGCCAGTGGCCTGCCTTGCGCGAGGGGCGCCCCTGCCGAGGTGGATGGCGGGGGCAAGGATGACAGTTGTGCTGACCTTCAGGGGCGTGACCTGCTTCCCTTTCCTGGTGGCCAGGCTCTCAATGACGTTCTTCTCGGCCATGCTGCTGCTGTTTCGGTCGGGCAACGTCGTCGGGCTCGGCACGAACGCTCACAGGAAGCTTGGCTTCGGCAAGGTCTCGCTGCCCTTGGTGAGTTGGGCTCAGGGCGTGCACGTTCCACGGCTGCGAGATGTTCGGCGGCCCAGCGGTCTGCCATTCTTCATCTTGCGCGTCAGTATGCTCGTGCCACGCAACGCCCTCCCCCAGAAGATCTCACACCCGCGGGAGCATACCAGATGCTCCGCGGTGGCGACAGCGGCTACTCTGATGACGCAGCCGCCGGTACCTTTGGCAGATTCCGACGCGGCGCTGTTGCGCTGCCGCAGCTTGGGGGCGGGCGTGTCGACCTGCGCTCCGTGGCGGACCCCGACCTGCAGCTCATGTTGGACACTCCTGAGCAAATTTTGCGTCCTGATGCTCACCGTAATCTTCTTCTATGCGATGCTCCAGCCAAGGTTGCGTGCGATCCCACGCTTCGCCAGCAGGGTCGTGACTACGGTTTCTTTCTTTCCAGCCTCCTAGACGCCAACATCATCGAGGTCGGCCCCAGTTCCGAGGAGGTCGGGATCTTCTTTGTGTTGAAAAAGTCGGGTGATCTATTCTAAATCTTCGACACCAGACGCGCCAACTGCTGGTGCCACACTCCATTCACGTGTTCCTTGCCTTCTGGAGAGTCACTGGCGGCCATGAGTATCCCACCCGACAGTCAGTTACACATGGCGGGAGGTGACGTGGAATGTTGTTTCTACCAATACGCCCCCCCCGAGGCCTTCCGCCACTTGTTCGGACTCATGCCCGTCGAGGCCCGCTTTCTGGACAAAGCTTGGCAGCGGCGCCTGAACGTCTCAGGGCACCATCTCGTGCAGTGTCGCGTGCGAGTCGTTCCCATGGGGTGGAGCTGGGCCACATGCCTGATCCAGCGCGTTCACCTCCACCACTTCGGCAACCTTCCTGTGCAGTTGCCCTGGGTCGTCGACAAGATGAAGTCGGCCAACTTCGGCATCCACAAGGGTGGCAACGCTCTCTACATCGACAATTTCGTTTGTTTCGCTACCGATGCTGGTCTGGCCCAGGAGCAGGTGGACAGCATGGAGGCTGCACTGGCGCATGTCGGGGTGGTCTCCTCTCTGGACCCGGCGTCCGACACACCAACGTTCATCGGCTTTGAGTTGGTGAACCAGTCGCGGTGGAGACCCACCCCGAAGAAGTTTTGGCGAGCTGTGCTGGGGCTTCGGCATCTGCTCAACACCAGCCCTCTGGTCTGTGGCAGGGACCTGGAGCACATTCTCGGGCACCTCATTCACATTTTCACGCTGAAGCGCGAGCTGCTCAGCATCTTCAACGCCACGTACTCCTTCATCAAGGGCAGCTACCTGCGTCGTCAGCCCCTGTGGGCCTCAGTGGTTCGCGAGCTCCGTTGGGCGCTGGCACTCCTACCGCTTGTGGAGGTGGACATCCAGCTCCCCGGGCACACCGAGGTCCACTGCTACGATGCGTCGCCGTGGGGCTTTGGTGTGACGTCGGCCTCTTGGGCCCTGGACGTCGTGCGCGAGCTCGGAGCTTGGAGTGAGCGCTCGAGACTCAAGGGGCCCTGGGCTGTGCGGGGCAAGCATCGTGAGCGGGCCCTAGGCTCGCTCGAGGCCTCCAGCGAGGGTTTCGAGGACATCCCACACGCCCTGCTGGTCAGCACTCGGTGGAAGGTGGTCGCAGCAAAAAGATGGAAAAGACATGGTCACATCTCCCTTCTCGAGAGCAACACTTCGACCTTCGTCGTTAGGTCTCTCTCACGTCGTGGAGGGTCCCAGGGTCATCATCATCTCGTCATGGGGGATGCCCTGGGGTCCATCCTGAGCTTCGCCAAGGGGAGAACCACGAACTATGACATGAACATCTGCTGCCGCGCCAATGCTGCCTACTGCCTTGCTGGAAACATGACGATGCATCACCGTTGGTTACCTTCAGAATGGAACCCTGCTGATCATCCCTCACGTCATTTTCAACCATCACGTGCACGCAGTCTTTTGGCTCAACATCACGAAGGGCATTCTGGCCAGCATGAAGGGAGACCTCCAGGCAGACATGGGCTACGCCTCGCACCGTGTGCTCAGCCGCCGGGTCTTGGCGGCAACATCGGGGCTCTCCTCGAGCACGACCCCGACGGCGCCTGTGATCAGGCGCCCCACGCACGCACCGTCGGCCAAGCGGAGGCGTGGGCCATGCAGGCCCCCCCGAGTCTCGGCCGAGATCAGGGAGCTGGCTCCCTGGCTGACCCCGCTGCAGGCCAAGCGCGTGCAGACCAAGACACGGCTGGCCTATTCTCAGTTGCTGGTGGCGCTGGCCATGTGGCTCAACGTGGCCCCCTTTCCAAAGCTGAACGGCGAGCAGTGGGGCGCCATCTTGGTCGACTTCTTAGAGGTCCAGCTGGACCGCAGCATGACCCTCAGCATGGCCGTCAAGACGGTGTCCGCGGTGCTGTGGGCCAACCCGCACGTCGGCCGCCCCGCAGCCAGGGTGCTGCCTTGCGCGTCCGCTGCCCTGGCGGGCTGGCGGGTCCTACAGCCTCCAGCCTCCCGGCCGCCCTTGCCCATCGAGTGCATGACGGCCATTGCCACGCGGCTCGCCGCAGAGGGCGACCTTCTTATGGCTCTCTTCGTCTGGGTGTCCTTCGAGACCTACTGGCGCCCCAGCGAGGGGCTTGCGCTGCGCGGGTATCAGGTGCTGCCAGGTCTGCCAGGCGGATCAGGATCAGGTCGTCACCTCTCGTTCCTGGTCCGCCCGTCCGAGCAAGAGACCCCCACCAAGACAGGCCTCTTCGACGTCAGCATCGTCCTGGACCTGCCTCGTCAGCAGTTCCTGGTGCCCCTCCTCTTGGCGGTCAAGCACCGGGTCGGGGACAGCGGCTTGATGTTCCCGATCGATCTCTCACATGGAGGCTCGGTCTCGCTTCCAGGCAGCCGCCATCGCCGTCAACGTGGGCAGCCTGCGCCCTACTCTGTACAGCCTGCGTCATGGGGGAGCCTCTCACGATCGGGCTTCCAACAGCAGGTCTGCCCACGATGTCCAAGCAAGAGGGCTGTGGCGGTCCTCCAACTCGGTCATGAGGTACGAGAAGCACTCCCGTCTGGCTCGCCAGCTACGCGCTCTCCCAGCGGCTACGCGCCACGCCGTGACAGCAAGCTATCGTGGCGCTGCCAGCGCCTTCACGGAGCTCTTTTGGAAGCACTGGCCCGCTGCCGCATCCCAGGCTTCCCAGTTGTATTAGACATCTTCGGCGGCCAGGGCGGTCTGGCCAAAGCCGTGAGAAGGCGAGGTCACGCTGCTGTCACCATCGACCTGAGCCAAGGCGAAGAGTTCGACCTGCTTCAGGGAGACGTGCTCTCCCTTCTCATCGGCTGGATCAACAGTGGCCAG